CTACTACTACTACTACTACTACTACTACTACTACTACTACTACTACTACTACTACTACTACTACTACTACTACTACTACTACTACTACTACTACTGTGGTAGTGTGGATGAAGGACTTGAACTGCCCTGGCTGGCCCTCATGGATCCAATCCCACAGGAATCCACAGTTAGTTAGTTAGCTGGGTTGTTTGTGTGTGTGTGTGTGTGTGTGTGTGTGTGTGTGTGTGTGTGTGTGTGTGTGTGTGTGTGTGTGTGTGTGTGTCTTTTACCAGTGGAAAGGCGGGTATCTTCCCACTTTCCTTCACATTTGCCCCTTGGAACACTCAACCCAGCGAACCAAACTTTGCCCTTTCCCAACCCGTGTCCTCCTCTCCCCTTCAGTTTCTCCCGTATTCAGGGCGGGGACCTTTCTCTTCTTTCCCACCATTCTCATTGCTCTTTCCAATTAACTTCCCCCCTGTCTATTTGTCTACGTAGCTGGTTGGGGAACTCCGGCTTTCGTCAGTGCGAAATAGTAGTAAAAAAATTGATAACATTGACACGCTGTAATACCCTTGTAATCCACTCTGGCCATGAGCACAAAACCCCCGATCTTCCATGATCTTCTACTTTCCTTCTCATTAAATTGTGTTACAAACAAGTAGTAGATCAGCCGGTCCTCATTGGTCACTCCCTTTAGTAGCTAAAAATAAACATTACCAACTCCAGCCAGACAAAACTGGAAGTGAACGAAGGGGACTAGAAAGGGGATGAGGAAAAAAAATATTTTACGACTGTTTCTTGGACCGATGACACAAAAAGGCCACAGAATGCTTTTGGTACATTAAATCGACAATTTCCTAGTAGATAAAAAAAAATACTTCTACAATATATGCAATCATCCAGGTTTCTTTATCAATTGTTGAGATCAGGTCAAAGTTAATATGTTGGCGCATTACCTTTATGGTCATGGTACATATCGACCCTGGTCTAAACCGATGGTTTTTGCTTCTGCTCCGGCAGAATAACACTACTAAAAAGTACACATCTCAGATCCCAGATAGACCCGGGGGGGATCCGATAAATAATAGAATTTAATATAGATTACTTGGGTTGGTTTGTGTTTGTCACTAGTGTGACAGTAGTGGATTTCTATCGGAGGGGCAGGCTAGTGTACAACACAGAGGCATGATTTTCGGGGGAGACTGAAGGATTTTGGCACAGAAATAATCAGTCCAGTGAGGGTAGAAAGTGAGTTGAGTAATTACAATGATGCTCATGGTTCATTTTCAGGGATGGCGCGAAGACCACTACCACCACTGGGCCTACTTTTGGTACTAATAATCTGAGATCGATCTATCAATTTATCTCAAGCAGGATGTTAATTTAATTTAAGATAGAAGAATAAATGAACAAATAAATTAATGGGAACGAAAAAGAAAAGAAAAGGAATGAAATGAGATTGTCGAAGTTATGATAGAAAAAGAGAGAAGCAAAACAATAAACAGAAAAGAAAATGGATCTGAATCGGCCATCCCACAAGTCGGAATTCCATTCAGGTTGCAGAAACGGGCAATGAACCAGACAAGTTGTGCAGTCTGTACTACATCGTACTAAGGGCATTATTGTCAATTATTACTACATCTGACACTGGAGCTCACTAGTGCTGTTGCAGGTCCCAGACTTTATCCATGGACTTGTTTGTTTCCAAGGTCCAACTGACCGTAAAATCACTACTTACTATCTACTGACTAGTTTTATTAGCTGCTAGCGTACCTCTCTAGTGGTTGTCTAGAGCTGTCCCATTCGATCTGGTTTAATTACTTTGACCAGTATTGTTCCAATCTTGCTCTCGCCCTCGCTCGCTCTTCTGTGATTAGTATTCCTGCTGCTCTCTCTTTCTCTCCCTCTCCCCCCTTCTCTTGCTTTTCTTTTTAAATTTATTATTTTTTGTTTCCTTTTTTCTTTTTCCCTTTCCCTTTTACTCTATTTACATTTACTCTTCTTCTTTTTTTTTCTTTTCCCTTTATTTTTTTTCCCCCCTTGGTTTAAACTTTCATGCAAACCTTCCATTAGGATCGCTGCCCGCTAGAACTATCTCTTTTGCGCGCGCGCTTCTCAACAAACAGGCACCAACTGTGACAGTCTTGCCTGCTTTCCTCCTTCAATCCATTGGATCCCTTGCTTAGCCGTTAACCACTCTGCATTTGTCGCTCAACTCTAGTGGGTTGACAACCATCTCAACCGAACATTCGAGGGAAAAGCCGCGGGAAATTTCCTGGTGAGAGAAAACAAAAAAACGGGCAAGGTGCATCGCACTAGCGGCCTCTTTTTCTTCTCTGCTTGGTGGAAGTAGTCCTTGGCTGCGTTTGACATTCTATTCTTCTGATTATTTGCTGCAAGTGTAAGTCCCTCTCTTTATCTTTTGCTACTTGCTCTCGTCAATACCCCAAACTCTACATCTGCCACGCATTCTGGTCCTTCTCCACGAAGCCTTGGCCTCTTTCTCCCTCTGCCAACTAGCCCATTGTATCCTCTTCTTATCATCCAGTCATAAACTTCTTCCCTTTTTTGTCCTCTCTCCTTCGACTCCCTCTCGCATCTCCCTTTCTCACCCTGCCTTACACACTTTGTACTCCTTCGTTCCTCTCTCTCTCTCCCTCTCCCCTCTACATCTTATTCAGCCATTCCTCAGATCTCATTTCCTGCTGCTTTTTCTTCCGCTCCATCCCCCCCTCCTCCGAGTCATATCATCTGCACTCTCCAACAAAGTTTCCATGTGCATGCCAGAACTCAAAAGTGGTAGATTGGCTCAACTAATTCTCTGACTGGATTTCTCTTCTTCAGTCATCTCTACCATGACAGTTGCAGCACCTCCTGTAGCACCCGTGCACGAGAATGGCATGAACGGAGGTGCCCCCGGACATCATGTCAACACTATGAGCCTCCCCCGTTTCCACCCAATCGCAATGAATCCGCCGCAACCAATCCCTCCAGAACATATGATGCCTGCCCATCATCAATTTCGTCCTTTTCACCCCCCTCCACTGCAGGAACAGGGTCCGCCTGCACCTGGTCCGCCGGGTCAACCATTTCAGATAGATCATATTGAGGCTCGCCTCAGGCAACTGGAACATGAAGAGGCGGCTCGCATGGCGGCCCGTAGTCATCTTCTCGCCATCCGGAAGCGAGAGGACGAGGAGTTTCGTAGGATGACTGAAAATGCGGAAGCAGAAGAAGAGGTATGGTTATTAGGTTGTGATATAAAATTTCCCCACCGTTTCAAATCTGACATGAACTCTTTTGCCTACAAATCAGGAACTGCGTAGGCAACGGAAACGAATTAAGCGGGAGTCAATGGGACTGGGATTTAATGCAAGCCTGGACTCTCCGCCGCTTCGACCAACGCCGCCTCGCCGATTATCGGAAACCAATGCAGCGACCACCCTTGCATTCTTCAAGCAACAGAGCCCTCCGGAGCCTCGTCCAATTCCCCCGCCAGCACAAGCGGCACCGCCCCATCCTCCCCCGCAACACATTCACCATGATCCTACCGGTGCCACGTCAATCAGACGGAAACAAAAATATACCATAAAGAACGTTGAAGCTTGGGGGGAGCGTCATGGACGTCCGGCCGCGCATGACCCTTCTGGACGGGCGCTCTGGAAGCGGCCGTCGGATGGCAGCTTGGTGTATCTCACATGCCCTGTTACGGGCTGCGGCAAGGCCGACTTCGTGACCTTGCATGGCTTCATGTGCCATTTGACCAAAAAGCACAAGGATCGTAGCCTGGGCAGTCAATCCCGGGCGCTTGAAGTGTGCGGTATAGTGTTTGATCCTAACGCTCCGCTGCCACCCGTGGCTACCGTGAACCGGGCATCTACTGAAGAAAGTCGCCTGGAATCGGGTCCTGCGGATGGCGAGGGATATCAGCAGGAGATGGAATATTCTTCTGCATCAGATGAGGAGGAGAGTCGGGAGGTCCCTGTGAAAACGGAGGTCTCAGATAGGACACTGCCTGCGCCGCCGGCGACCATGCCTCCGGCGCCGGAGCAAATACCAGTGCCGAGAATGAACGGCTCAACTAAGCAATCCATCTCGTCCATTATCGATCGCGACCCGGAGGATGAACCCCGGGGGCGACTAAGCTCAATCCCGCCTCGGCCGGCTGAGGCACCAATCCAGGCGTCCCCGGATCAAAAGCCCTCGATCAAGGACGAGGCCGAGTTCCCTCGGCCACATGAGACCGAGAAAGAGAATACTGACCCTAAAGACACAACCGAGGCAAAGTAATATATACAAATACATCATAATTACTGGTTATTTTCATTGCGTTGGCCTGTGACCAGGCAAAAACTTGCATTTTTATCACCTTGCATAGTCCGAGCATGCTTTTCTGTTTCTGTTCATATGCAGCAGCTCTTGCGTCAATACCCTCTTTTCTATTTGTGGGAGGCCTTGCGTGCACGTTCATTAATAATGTAATGTCTTACTCTTGTCGCAATGATTGACCCTCTTTCCATGTATGCTTGGATTGATGGGGATTCTGCTCTTCTACACATGCCCATCCATCCCTATGCCTCCAATCACTAGTACATTCTATACCCTTTATAATCCCCAGTCAAAGATGATCTCTTGAAAACCCGGGTGCACAGTTATTGTGTCTGTTTATTTTCTTGCTCTTGTTTCCCACAAGAATGTCCATATACTGCTTTGGGATGTTTATACATGCATAGCTGTTTAGCTTCTGGCCGGAAAGATGCAGTTGAGAGACGACACCAGTCTCTCATTTGAGAATTCCACAGTTCAGGCCATGTCCATAATCAATCAAAAGACATATATCATTCAGTCCATCTCCAGTCTAGATCTACCTCAAAACCAAAACATGCACCAAATACCCACTCCCAGACATCAACTTCTCCCCCAACATCTCATCACTCACCCTCCACACGCGAAACACCCTCAACGTCTCCCGTAACCACGCCTCAAACACCTCCGGTGACCGCTGCTGCTGCGCAATCACACACACCGTCGGCGTCCTCCCCCCCCTTCCTGTCCCACTAGAACCCCCCTCATCAATACTCCTACTACTACTACTACCGCCACCACTACCAGGGGGAGTATACACCGGCCTCAAGCGACACAAATCCGCACACGTGCGCACAAACGGCGCTACCAACGCATCGTTGTAGATACAGTCGCATGACACCACCACGTCGAAACCTTTATCCTCCTCTCCACTATCATCCACAGTAGTGCACAACCCCAACCCCTCCTTCAGTGACCCCGCAACATCTAATTCCCAATCTAGGGATGTGAAGATCACATTCCCAGTTCCAGTCGCTTGTCCCTGGTGGGATTTCCGAGCTGCCGCAGAAGATGAAGATGCTGACGCCCTGCTGGACTTCTTCCCCGACCTGGAAGATTTACTACTACCTCCACCGGTAGAGGTAGAAGTAATGGTGCTGGCATTCTCATCCAGATTCTGTCGAAACAATCTCTGCACGTATTCCTGGTCTGTGGCGATGTAGTGAGATATCTTTGGTGAGAGGGATAGGGCTAGGAGGGCGGAAATGCCGCTGCCTAGTTCGACGATGGTGGAGGTCGGTGTTAGGATGTTGTGTGTCCAGAGGGGGTTGTTGCTATCCTTGGTGGTGGTGGTGGTGGTGGTGTTGTTGTTGTTGTTGTTGTTGTTGTTGTTGTTGTTGGAGAGCCATTCTGCGATGAGGGGGGTGATTTTCCAGAGGACTGTTGTATATTATATTATATTAGATTGGGCAATTGGTTGGTTTTTCAGGGCATTATTGTGATGATAATGACAACGACGACAACGACGACGACGACGACGACGATGATGATGATGAGGTAGGGTTATGGTAAAGGCTCACCTGCACCAGTTGTACCGCCTGCTCTGGAAGATGATAGCAGAGTCGGAGATTGGTGGATGGTATAGTCTTGGTCGTGGATGGTCAGGTCGATGGTTGTGGCGCGGGAGTCGACGAACCCTAGGTTGGCGGAGGGGATGTCTTGGGAGAAGAGGAGGAAGGATTCTATTTGGTTGAAAATGGGTTTGGTTTCAATGGTTATTATGTGTGGTGTACAGGGTTTATAGTGGCTTATATAGGTATACACGCTTATGGGTGGTGATGATGGATGATATTGCAATCGAGCATGGGAACATACCCTCTTCTGCGTCTTCGACTTCTTCGCCGATGGTGGCGAGGAAGTTTGTGAGTAGGTCCATGGTTTCTTGGAATAGGATATGTCTGTCTGTCTGTCTAGTGTCTACTAGGTATACAGAGGGTATGTGTTTCAACTCCCACTTAGGGTAGGCCTGTTTGCTTCTGATATTGGCTGTTCTGGTCAGTCAGTAGTACTTAGTCATGAAGTCTGTCAATCGGAGTTTCATCTGCAGTGGCGGGCGTAGTACAACGAAGATTAACCAGGGTATGAGAAGGGGAGAATTGGAGTTTTGACTGCAACAAAGGCTTGCAATGGATGAAGAAATTGCCATGATACTGAACTTGCGCTGGTTCTGACCAACGGGAAGTTTTCCAGCATTATAACGGCTGGCATTCTGATTGGTTGGCGGGAAGGGGGTCTCACAGTCACACCGCAGAGATCCTTAAAACGTTCTTCATGTATACTGCGACTGCATAAGGGGGTTGATGCATAAGTGGATGAAGGAGGTCGTGGGAGTGTGTGTCTGCAGTAGAACTTGACAAAGTTAATTGCCAATAGTCTTTGGACTGAATGTCTGGTGCCTGAATACGTCCTAGATAGCTATCGACGGTGGGAATCCCAACAAAAGCGGAACTGGGCTTACCTGCGACCGAGACTTTCCAATCTCTTTTCTTGAATCATGAACGGCGAATCCCTTGGACTCTAGAGGCTTCTTATGCCGTCATCTGGGCGGGAATCTCTGGAAATGTGGATTCAATTAGTTCATATATCTCTCCTTGGCTATAGGTACGTAGTGATCTAGTCTGCTTACTGTACTGCTGTCATGTCGGGGCAGCTTGACAAGCTCCATAGTTTGTGTTTGTGTCTGTATCTGTCCCCATGATCCTCTGCTCTCCCCGTGTGTGTCAGAACCTTGAAGCTGTCGGCTGTGCTGGACCGCGGCTAGTACTTTCTGATGCTGCATTCAGAGTCCCGACCGATCTAGACGATGCATGAGCCTAGTAGTAAAGGAGGTACTACTGGTACAGTAGTCGTGGCCTCAAGGGGAGAGCGTTGTCACGATCGCAACCATGGTAGCGCATTGCGAGAGCGGAGAAATCAGTCGACTAGCCAGTAAAACCAGACCATATAATAGAACCAGGAACACGATGTGCAGGGGAAGAAGAAGGATCGCAAAAAGGGACTTTGACCCATCCGTCATTGTAGCCGGAGGTGGCGGACGAGCCAGAAAGCAACTTAACTTGGGGGACCGCCTTGACCTCCCGTCCAGCCACAACAAATACTCTCTCTCTCGCTCTGACTTCATTTCCGATCTGCAGCTTCATCATCATCTCCTCTTCTGGTGCTGTTGCTACTTCTCCTCCTCCACTACCTCCTCCTCTTCTCCAGCTTCCATTCCTAATTTCCCCCTCCTCTTCTCTCCCCTCTTTACCCCCATCTCATCCGGGTCACTTACCATCTACCGCCCGTATTTTCTCCCCGCAATCTCGCCCGCCTTGGAAGGCTTCTTGTATTTCTTGCCAAAGGCTCCACCTGCAATCTCATCCCCCGGTTTGCAGTCCGTCAGTGCGGTTCTGCACTCCCGTGAGTCTTTTGAGTTCTGCGCTCCGTCCCTCTTCCTCCGGTTCCCGTCTCTCTGTGCTGTTGCTTTTTCCATTGCCGTATTCGTTCAGATCGAACCTAAATTCTCCAACATCGACTGACCACCACACCCCATTCTTTGTTGGACAGACCAAGTTCCCTACAGATCCTGTCTTCCCGTTCCCTCCGTCTAGAACCCTTCTCCCACCAAGATGCCGATGTCCAAGAAGGAGCTCCAGGAGCTTCGCATCCAACCGCGCATGTACAAGAAGCCTCCGTTCTCCATAGAGGCTCCTGGATACGAGCCGGTTGAGGGCGAGACCATTCCTCGTCGACTGCCCGCCGCCAAGGATGGCCTCATCCTTCGCCCGGCTGAGGATGTCGGAACCACCTACGATGTCTTCCGCCGCTCCGCGCGTGTTTACGGCAATGCGAAGGCGGTCGGAACTCGTCACTTGGTCAAGACCCATGTCGAGAACAAGAAGGTCAAGAAGATTGTTGATGGGGTCGAGAAGGAGGTCGACAAGCAGTGGACCTACTTTGAGATGAGCGGCTACAGCTACAAGAGCTTTGTCGAATACGAGAAGCTGGCCCTGGAGCTCGGCTGTGGATTGCGAAAGCTCGGTTTGGAGAAGCCCGACAAGATCCACCTTTACGGCGCAACTAGGTGAGTCTGCAGTTGAGCTTTACCGAAATACATGAGGATGCTGACGGTGCGTCTTTTTCTTTTTCCGCAGTGCACATTGGCTGGCCATGTCACACGGTTTGTGCCCAAACATCTACCTTGACTCATTGGTCGGCAACTAATTCCAATACTTGTGAACAGGTTCCGCATCTCAGTCCCTGACCATTGTCACCGCATATGATACCCTGGGTGAGGAGGGATTGAAGCACTCTTTGGTCCAGACATCCAGTGCCGCCATCTTCTGCGATCCCGTTCTCATTCCCTCCGTGGCCAACGTTCTGAAGGATGTCAAGTCCATCAAGCATGTCATCTACAACACCGACCAGGAGTCCAAGAAGGAACACCTGGACCGTCTCAAGTCCGAGTATGACTACCTGAACGTCATGAGTCTCGAGGAGCTGCGGAAGCTGGGTGAAGAGAACCCCGTTGATCCCGTCCCCCCGGCTCCTGAAGACCTTTGCTGTATCATGTACACCTCCGGTTCTACCGGCCCCCCGAAGGGTGTCTCTCTGACGCATGCGAACGTTATTGCCGCAAGTAAGTTGCTACTCGGAATGCCCTTGGCCAGTCGCCGCTAACTCCAACTTCCTACCTAGCTGCCGGTATCCACGAGATTGTCGGCCCTTACATCGGTCCCTCGGATGCTCTCCTCACCTACCTTCCCCAAGCGCACATCCTGGAATTCATGTTCGAGAACCTCTGTCTTTTCTGGGGTGGTACCATGGGTTACGGCAACCCTCGCACCTTGTCTGACGCTTCCATGCGCAACTGCAAGGGTGATATCCGCGAATTCAAGCCCACCATCCTGGTCGGTGTTCCGGCTGTGTGGGAGTCCGTGAAGAAGGGTGTGCTCAACAACCTGAACAAGAACAACTTCCTCATCAAGAGCATCTTCTGGGGTGCCATGTCTGCCAAGAACTTCCTCATGACTGCTGGATTCCCCGGCGCTGACACGGGAGCCTGGTTCCTGGACTCTGTGGCCTTCCGCAAGCTCAAGGAAGCTACTGGCGGTCGGCTACGGATTATGATGAACGGTGGTGGTCCGGTCTCCAAGGACACGCAAAAGTTCCTGTCCATGGCCGTTGCCCCCATGATCAGCGGCTACGGTCTGACCGAAACCTCCGCCATGGGTGCCCTGAACGACCCGATGGCCTGGAACCCTGACGCGCTCGGTGAAATCCCCGCCTCTATCGAGGTTAAGCTTGTTGACTTCCCGGATGCTGGCTACTTCACGAAGAACACTCCCCCTCAGGGAGAAATCTACATTCGCGGAGGCAGTGTCAGCAGCAACTACTGGCAGAACGAGGAGGAGACCAAGGAGGCCTACACCGATGATGGATGGTTCAAGACCGGTGACATTGGCGAGTTCGACAACCTTGGCCATCTCAAGATCATCGACCGCAAGAAGAACCTCGTCAAGACTCTCAACGGTGAATACATTGCTCTGGAGAAGCTCGAGTCTATCTATCGCTCTTCCCCCGTCGTCGGCAACATCTGCGTCTACGCCGCCCAAGATCAGGACAAGCCCGTTGCTATCATTGTCCCTGTCGAAGCCACCCTGAAGAAGTTGGCCAACGACAACGGTATTGAGGGCGACTCTCTGGAGTCTCTCGTCCACAACGAGAAGCTGAAGTCTATTGTCCTCAAGCAGCTCCAGACCGCCGGTAAGGCCGGTGGTCTGAAGGGTATTGAGATCATCAACGGTGTTGTCCTCTCCGACGAGGAGTGGACCCCTCAGAATGTAAGTAATACATACCTTCGCTTCCATTGAACAGTATACTAATTAATCACAGGGCTTCATGACCGCCGCTCAAAAGCTCCAGCGCAAGAAGATCCTCAACCGCTTCCAGGACGACATTGACCGTGCCTACGGCAAGAAATAAAACACCACCGATTATAACTAAAGTTCGCGCACAGCGAACCCTCATCTCATCTCGATCAGCCGCATATCTTATGCCTGCTTAATTAGTATATCCTCTATATCCCTCAGCAACTGTTCTGTTCTGCTCGCATTATGTTTTGATCCTGCTAATTTCGTTTTCTCTTCGACTTCTGTTGTTCTATGATATACATGTATCATGTTCTCTCCTTTCTTCGTCTGTGTATGTCTCCGCTTAGCTAACTCTCGATGTGATACTCACTCATCCCGGTGTGTCTATGCCATATAAAATTCATCGATTTTCATTCATGTCTACCTCGTTCGTAAGTCATCAGTAGCAGCTGTACAGAACAGACAGAAATTGCCCCAAATCGAGATATGATTACAGTACTCAACAAGTAGATAGATAGTTAGATGGATATGCCCTAGCTTCATCCCCTATTGACTGTACGTACACTATCCTTTATCTCTCTCTCTACCCCTTTTCTTATCTTCAAGGACACCCGTCTCTAGCCTATTATTTATCCAGTGCGCTTAGTGTCTGTACTAGCTTCGCCAAAAGAAACATCAACTACTTGGTTGCTATCGAAAGTAAAATGTAAATAAGACAGATATCTATTGTATACTCAAGTTCAGTAATAGGATGACTCGTACCATACATGTTCTTTCTCCTATGTGGAATATTCCACATTCCACATTCCACATTTGATAGGGTAGTATGAAGTCCCTATGATAGGTGATAGTACTCATAGCAATTTACGATTCACGTAAGACAGTAGTATAGGTAGATAGATAGGTAGATATCACAGAGCGAGTAATATCAAGTACTAAGTACTAGTAAACTACGTAGCATTAGTAGATAGCTGCTGCAACGCATGAGTCAATTAATTTACTATTGAATCGATATTACTGAGTTATCGTTGTATATAATATGATTCATGACCTACTACTTCAGTAAGTAACTCGACTAGGTAGTATTTATTTGCTGAGGAAACTGCTATGTAGAATTGATCTAGAGGATCTACTCAAGTTTCAAGTATGCTATACGTCTCATTGCCGAAATCTTATTTTCTATCTTGAGTGACATACATGCAGTGCATGCTTTTTATGATGGGTAATATGTCAGATCAATCCTTCTACTCTTCTTTTCTGATGTGTCTGAAAGAGAGGGAAGAAGATACAGGTCATTTCGTTAATTCGATGGTTCCTGGCGCTATATTGACTGGGACGTAATAGGAAGGCGGAATTGGACGCCAATTGACTAAACCGTATTGAGACTAGTTGGTATTCCAAGTTACTGCCGAAGAGAGCTCGATTCACACAACCTTTCCGGACTGCAAAAGAACAATTGAGTGGAACTACCTTACTTACCTGGTGCCTAATTACATTCTTAACATCCGTTACTCGTATACTTACCCTTTTTTTTACTTAGAAGGATGTCTTTCTGGAGGTGGGTGGTCTATTAGAATGCTGACGAGGAAATGGCTTTACGCTGACTGGGAGATACGCACCACACAGCTCATATCGGTCCCTCTCGCCCAAAACGAGAGCTCTATTCGGAACCGGCGTGACGGCCTGGGCGTCGATTGGGCTTTGGGCTTCGCCGCAAGTGGAAAATGCTATGGGTATGGCGCCTACCAAAGAGGAACAGGAGGAGTTGGATCGGAAACTGGCTGTCCGGATATCGAGAGTCGAGAAAGATGCAAAGTAGGTGATGCAGATGGAGGCGGGTACTCTCGGCTACGGTAGTGAGGCTGGGGGTCTGGGTTGAGACGTCAGCAGCCCAACATTTGGTTATCGCAGATGCAGGCCGCCTTGACCGGTTACTTCGAAACACCAATGGGCGTCATTCACATGTTCTTGCGAGTTGAAGCTGGGGACGGGAATAAGCCAGAATAATAATAGGCAGAAGCAGATAGGCGGCATTTGAGTCAGAAGGAGAGTTAGGCGAGTTGCAGCAGGACGCAGGAAATGGGGGAGGGGGAGCAGATGCTCATTTCTTGTCGTGTGTCTAGCCTTGTCAGAAGTTTGTTGGCGGGACACAACATCCGGAGGCCGTTTCGTGGAACAGGATTTTCATGCATGCAATGTCGGGAGAAGTCTTGAGACGACTAGCTGACGGGCCCATGAAGAACCCAGAGAGTTGCGCTGGCAGTTAGCCGATGCTTGTAGGGGGGGTCGAAGCAAGCAATTGAGCGAGTAAAGGGCGAAAGGAAATGAGACAATCTCCACGCAGCTCAGCGCAGGGTGATGTGACAGGGTATGATCTACGGAAAGAAAGAAGGTTTGTCTGGGACAGAATCTTCACCAGCTCGTAAAGGGGGTTGGCCATGAAAGACCAATGTTGACACGAAAAACAGCCTTGTCAGCACTCGACAGGGGGCTCGCATGGCTGGTAGACTTTCTCTTTCCAGGGATTACAATCGACACTGGGACCATGGTCTCAGGTTCTGAGCAGAATCCAACGGAGTGAGATCAGCGACCCAGGATCATTTGACGTACAGACGAACATGGGGTCCCTATTTGACTCAGATACTGCTCGGCTATTGCATGCAAGACTCCGAAGGCTCCAATCTGCGACATCAACTGCTCCAGGAAGATGGGTGGGGCGGGTTGCATCCCATCGACTCGCCCGTGGGAAGAGTAGGGGGCGCGCATGGAAGTGGCAGCGACTGGAGCCCTGGCCGTTGAAAAGGGCAAGTCGACAAGTTCATACATTGCGTTGGGCGCTGACGTTGGTGCGGTGAAACTGACGCAGATTGGATGCAACGGTTGCACAACGATCCGGAGAGTTGTCCAAAGGGACATTGCGGCGTTCTCGTTGGCCGCCCTCTACCAGACCGTACTTCTGTCGGTCAAAATTACCAGGCCTTCTGTGGCTTGCAAGGCTTGGGCCCCATCAGTTTTGCCCGGGTCATTCACACCCCCTCCCTTGTACGACGTGCATGGTGGGCCATTCTAGGGAAGCCAATATTACCTCAGCAATGCTTGGAGTATTTGGTAGCCATCGGGGACCCCGCCTGCGGGCATTACAGAGGTTGGAAACCACTGGAAAAGGTGAAGCGTGTCCGGTTGGTGTGAGATGGTTTATCATTGCTTTGATTCTGCATAGTCTATTGGGACGGACAATAATTCCACGCTGCCGAAATCTGTTGGGGGGTGGGGACTGCTGCTTATGGCGCCTGGATGGTTGACGGAAGGAGACATGTTGTGTAGTATGAATTAATTGATTCTCGCGTTTCTTTTTCCCGATGAGATGGATGCAGATGCATCACTAGAGAGAGTGAGAGAGATAAGGACCGGCAGATCAGAATTTATCGGGTCCGAAAGAACGCCGATGGTGTAGTCCTTGCAGGCTGATATTCAGACCAAAGGGAAACCAATTGTCGGGTCAGGATGACTCCGGAACGTCCGAGAGGCCGAAGGGTTTGGAAGGAGTGGCTCAACCAGACAGACGCGCCCGTCAGCGCTTGGAGCGAGTGGTCATCCCGCATGGCGATGGAGTTGTACCCGAAGGCTTGGAGGCTGGATATCCTGGATAGCACCCAGTAGGATAGTTACACTTGCCGCCGTGATGGGAAGCATCGATGGGAGGCGCTAAAAGGGGAGAGAGCATGCACGCTCACTAACGAGATTAAATCAGCGGCCTAATGTATGCCCGGTCGATCATGGAACGCATTGGTGGGATGATCGTCGCGTTAGTTGCATCTTCCTTTTGACGTCGCTCGAGTGCCGTCACCTGCAGCCATGGAAGGACCAGGGACTTCTGACGTGGGGGGCGACAATATAGGCCTAAAAGAAAAGGCGGGAAGCAACAGAAATACATGGATGAGATGACATGAGACGTGATGTTGAGGTGGACACCGGTTGATGAGGTTCGCAGGAAGAGCCATGCTCAGGGGACAATTACTTACTCTACCCGGGGCACCTTGGCGTGCTGTATGTATAGATAGTAGTGGGTGAACTGGCTACCAAGCTAGCAAGTCAGGAGTGAGCTCACCTAATAGATCGATAGGTAGATAGTTAGTTTGTGACTAGGCAGTAGTCAAGAGCAGGAGCTAAGTATTTAGTCTGCTGTCTAGTGAGGAGTAGTGAGAAAGACAGACAGACAGAGAAGCAGCCAGGATGGTGCCGGTGAGGCGGGAAAAGGATCCCATTTCCCTTCCGGCACATCGACAACAAAGGAAAAGCCGCGGGAAAAAGGAGAAGGAGTGATTGGCCCTATCTTCTTTCCCTTTTCTCTCTCCATTGCTTCTAGCATGGGGGTCTGTTATTGCAGTCTATTATTCTTTGGTTCTTCATTCATTCCTGCTGAGTCTGGCAGCGTAAGTGGGCGGGAGGAAGTAAAAGGAGTGGGAGTACTATGTGAGTTCTGGAGTAGTAAGTATGTATGGAGCAACCAGCAACCAGCAAGTGGAAGTAGAAGTAAGTAAGTGTGTGTTGGTTGATTTGGTTTCGGGCAAGCGCGTCTGTACGGTAAGTTGGTAGTATCAGTAGTTACCGAGAGTAACTCCACCCCCAGGAATTCTTTCCCCGTAAACTAAAAAACTAAAAAAACTAAACTAGACTAAAACAAACCGTAAACTATACGATCGATCCCCCATCCATCGATCTTCCGTCACAGCAATCATCCACCCACTAACTACTAACTACTAGTAATTTACTTACTACTACAAAATAGTAGTGTATGTACCTATTAGGCATGTCTGCCACCAAATCACTTACTGGGAATTATCCCCCCTCCTCAATGGCTGTCGGTCACCGACCGCCAAACTCGGCCACAACAAATGAAAGGATGGGGCTTCGGTCCCTTCGTCGATCTTCCCTCGTCATCTGGCCTGAGATCCGGGCGGCTCGGGGTCGTTAATGGCTTGTTCTCTCTGTCTCTCACTCTCCCTCTCACACACCTCCCCTAACCACCACCACCACCAATCCCCTCCTCACGCAGCTTCCCCCCCCTCCCTGATCCTCTCCCTGACCTCCATTCAAATAGGTAAATACATATCCTTAACTTACCGCGGAATTTGCCACGGCTGTGAGCTAGAAGCATGATGATGATCATCCACTAATCTTGGTACTATCGATCATCTATCAATTACGGCATACTGCATAACTAAAAGTCTCGGATCTCAATCCGTTGTCCCTTACCCGGCTCCCCTCCCTCTCTCTCACACTCTCTTCCCCCCTCTCCATTGATTCATTGACAATTCATGTTATCTGTACGTTCAATTCCTATGCAGGAATAATATGAGAGATCCGCTTCGTTGGGTTTCTTCGTACCCTTCCATATTGCTTTTTCCATGCATGGGGTTCTGGTTCTGGTTTCAAGACACCCCCCTCTCCGCGTGCAGCGAACAGGGTTAGTCAGTTGAGATTGGATTGACTTGATAGCGGCATACCTGGCTGGGCCAAGTAGGGCAGCATGTCGAAGAAAATTCTACCCCGGCAGTAACCAATTATTACCCTCTCCCGGCGAACTACAATCCTTCTCGCTGGCAGGCTGGGTCTTGCATGCGAATTATTATTACTATCTTGGTTCGCTTTTTTCTCGAATGGTCATGAAATGCTCCACTTTGAGAGAGACGCTCGGTTTTAGCCTTCCTGTTGGTTCGTAATTCTAAAACGAAGTTTCGTTGGTAGTTTGTTTTAGCATCAGAATATTTGTAAGTCCAAAATCATAGTAAATATTTATGTTTTCTTTTTGGCCTTTCTGGAAAAGGAAAATTCCAGTCTCGCCTACATGTAGAAACTCAGATGTTTGGGCCCCGTCTGTTGTAAACGGGGAATGGAAGTAATGCATCCTCCCTTTGGTCCTTCCGGAGGCAGCATCAATCGGGGGTTGCGATGGGGGGAAGGGGAGAAGGAAATTGACAGGCTGGAAACAAGAAAGAAGAAAATAAGTGGGGCGAAGGAAAAGCAAAGGGAATGAAACAAGCCCCGGTGCACAAGGATCCTAAAAGGGGTTGTCACCGTGGTAATGCAATTTCAACTTTCTTTCAACATGGGAGAGAGGGCAGGTCAGCTCAGCTTCGCAGTCTATAGGCATACATGAGTCATCGGATGTCCGTCGAATGCAACCAACGCGTTTCGGCAAACGTAGGGTCAGGCGCTTGGGACAGAAGAACTTCATCTGGGGGAAGACTTTTCTGCTTCATGAACGGGTTACATGAGAAACTGGAAGGAAAGCTTTCCAAAAGCATCTGGATCACAAAGAGAGAGGATAGTAGGAAAGCAAGTAAGAAAAGATATAAGAAACAAAATAAGTAGGGAAATAAAAGATAAGACAAAAAGATAATAGAAACTAGAGAATGTAAACATAAATGATAAAAGGAAAAGACAACGACGGACACACACAACACAAGAGATGTGCATGAAAGGTTCGCATTGGCTGAGATGGAAAGGAAATTACCAGAGACCTGCTAAGCGCACAGACTTTGGGAGTTGGTAAATCGACCATAAGAGCTCCCATCAGCGGTGCGAGTTGAATAGACGGGGTTAAAGCCATTGCTACTAGAGTGCTGGTACAGGTGAGAAGCTAGCCGAGGGGGTTGTTTCAGGTGATGCGGAGGTTCATGCTGATCATTATTCGTCACCATAGAGACCATCGACTCAAATGGCTGGGGAAATGCATGGCCGGTCTCTTCGCTGGTTTTGGATACGGATTCGTACTCGAATGAGGGATGTGGATGGCGGTAATGGCTTGCCGGCTTTCGGTTGTTCATAACGCTATAGTTAGAGTCCTGATAGGTATCCATGCTGGACGAGCTTTTCATCGAGTCCATCGGATCCATGGTGTTATCATTCATGAGTCCAATATCAAACGCCGATGACGAGGATGACGATATGTGTGGACTCTCGCTTAGCGGTGTCTGGTCTGGCGCGGTCATTTGATGGTAATCTGTTCGACCGTAATGTGGCCCACCGCGCTGAGAAGAGTCGTACGGCATGAGGGCCAAGTGAGACCGTGCACCTGCTCCTAATCCTGGGGGTAGGACAGCCCCTCCACTTCCATCGCCGGAGCCACCGATCCCTCCATCGGGGCCCATGCTGGTCGAACTATCGCGGCGGCCGTCTTTGTAATGGCCCGGGGAGCGACCCCGGACTACCATTGGATGCGAAAGTCGCCTGGCAATTCTGACCCATTGGGTATCGGTACCTGGAACCGAACTGGCGACCTCAGCATAGAGCTCAACGACTAGATTATAGTACTGCTGCTGGGCTCGCCGTTTTCCATTGTTCGCCGTCGCCTTCTGGAACTGAATTCGCTCAAACGTGTGCTGGGTTGGCGGCTGTGAAGGCTGGCCCGCTCCTGGGTAACCAGCGAAATCCAGCGATAACCCAGCCGACTGTGACGCCAACGAAAACCCATGCTGACTGTTGTTTGGTGATGCTCCATGGCCCAGAACCAAGGGCGTAGGTTGAGAGGGTTGCAATATGACCTTTCCCGGTTTTCTTTCCGATTGCTTGTCCCGTTTTGGGGTGTGTTGAACCAATTCCCGAACTTCCCCAACTTGTTGGTTCACTACGGCGGAAATTGACATGGCAAATCTTGTAATGCGTTCTGGCCCATGCTCCGACAATTTCACGTATAGTGGAGCGTTTGACCACGGCTGCAACGTGAACGAACACGAGACTGAGAAATAATTGCGTCTATAGCACGTCCACTTGTCATCGACCTGGAAGAAACCCTTATGTATCTTGGCTTGTATCTCAGGAGTGATGGTTTGAGCTCCGGAGACGACCGGTTGAATCACCATAGTTTCGCCGAACGGAGGAGCATCGGCAACTGGCTGGGGCAAACGTTGCTGGACGGCGTCCATCAACATAGTCCCCGACCCAATATACACGCTCGGGGGTCGATCCATAGTGCCCTCGATAACACCTCGAGGGGTTGTTCCAAAGGGCGTGATCCTATTGATTTCCCCAAGACCTGTCAAAGGTCCTTGGAAAGGTCCTCGATGGAGTGCGTATGCTCCCGGATACCCATCATTTCGCCCCATAATGGAGGTACTTCCAGAGACGGTTGTCCCCTGCGATTGCAGACTAGGTGACATGTTGGCGGGCGGCTGACTGTACAGGTCCCAAAGTTTTCTTATCAATCGGTGCATGTCAACAAAGAACCAAAGATTGAGACACACTTACAGTGGGGGCACCCGATGGGATCTGTAATCCGACATTCTATCGTATGACATTCCTGAGAAATGTGTATACAGTGAGTTCGATGAAGGAGAGAATGTTTCTGTGAAGCACCGCACCATATTGATGGAGGGCGCATGTTAGCCGATGGCAGGGAACCGAGAGATAAAGGGAAACGAACCAGAGCATGTGTCAGTAGGGCTCATGAGAATGGAGGTAGGAGACGGCGGAAAGCTAGAAGATCAGACTCAGGTCAGTAAATTATTTCATCTGCTGGGTTATTGCCGAAGACAATCGTCGAGGATGACAGCAGAAGAAAATCAAGATATAGAACGCTTGGATCCCAACGCATCACGACCATACAGCATGTATAAATGAACCAGCGACGAGCTGTGCGGCCATCATTTGCGAGAGGATATGCTAAAGATTCGGTAATGCGACCAGGGAGCAGCAGGTAGACGCATGCAAGCAGCAGTTTGGTATAGACCATTAAGAACGGCACTTTGACATAAAATAAATAAGGAAGTAAGAATAAAATAAAATTCGAAAAGAAAGAAGGGAGCAATGACGAAAATGGATGATGAGAAATTGGTGCTCAACACGGAAAAGGGAAATAAGGAAAAAAAGGGAAACAACATCGAAAAAGGAAAATAGAAAATAAAAATGAAAATAAAGCCACTCAACGCCCCCAGGGCTAATGTGAGTAGATTTGGAATATTCAGGAATTATCAAGATTGCCATCAACATCATTATTATCAACAGCACACGACAAAATCATCTTGATAATAAT